AGCAAAAGTTCAAATACGCATTAAACCAAAGGACCTTGGAAGTAGTATTGAACCAAGGAATACACCTCGCAAGATTTACTCATTAGCGAGGTGGAAAGCAACATGCGAAGGGAACGAGAATGCAAAAGGCTCGCCTAAGAGTCATGAACTATTTTCACAAGTACAGTGGCTACAAACTGTCAATAAAACCTCACATTTGATGAAAGAGGCATGCAAGTCATTTAGGGCTCTAAACGTGATCTCACACTAAGCTTAAATGTTGTAATGATCCATTTGTACTCTAAACCTGGAAATCAAGTGAAGATCTAGCATTTGAAACTCATTTTTATAAGCTTGAATTCATAATTTTCTTACTCTTTAATCCCAATTTTTATAAAAATATCATTTTTTCATAAAATGTATTCTCAAAAAAATCTTACATCAGATGGGCCTAAGAATGAAACTAGGTAAAAACTTTGTGTTCATTGCTTTGGTACTTTCGTGGGATTTCTAGGTTCGATAATGTCAATGGTTAGGACAAAACTCACATGAGTCATGTCGTATCTTCCTAGCAGCGCGTTGGGTTCAACTTCAAGTTTAATAAAGGAATTATTTACTGATGAAAGTTAATTTAAGGAGATTTTAGGGAATTCATTCTCAATTAAATAAATGGAGATTTAGTCAGAGGAACATACCTGCGATTGGTTTGTTAATGCTGCAAGATGCATCACAGTATTGCCTTCATCATTACTCCGGCGAAATATCAACGTATTATTGGTCTTCCTAGCCCAACCAAGTAAAACTTTAAAAGCTCTAAGATTTTCATTTCTTACAGCAATATGAAAAACAGTCTCATTTCGAACGGTTAAGTCATTTATTGAGGATGGACCTATGAGAAGAAAATAAATCAAAAGATTGATGCCCCTTTTTCCACTGCACAATGCAAAAGAGTGTTCCCTGCCCTCCTTGGACACGAACGAGGTCCGGATCATGCTTGAGGAGTCGTTTCACAGTGTTGGTGTGTCCATTATCCAAAGCCAGGTGCAGTGGACTAAGACCATCAAGGTTCAACTTTTTCCCCAACGAAGGCTTTAGCCTCAAGATTTCAAGAGCAAGGTTGGTATGGCCTTCTGAAGTAGTAGTATGAAGAGGTGACTCCACAAATGGCATCTCATTGGGGACTTCCAAGTAGTGCGGATTATCGCGTATTTTTGTGTACAAGTGAACGATATCTAAATCTTCAACAGTGTTCATCATGCAAACTCGAGATAGTTTAAAATTGAAAAGTGCTTTGCGTATTTCAATTGGATCTAATTTGAGTTTCTTTATATAATTGATATCAAGAATTCACAAGAACTAACACCGTTCAAGATCAAGGTATCGTTGCCTTATATAGTCTCGTACACGACAATTCAGTCAAATTTTTATTTTCCTCATTTAAATTATAATCTATTTTCATCACCTAACAATCGAAGTTTGTGACTTGATTGAATAATGTTTTTAGTAAAGTATTTAGAAGTATCATTATGTGGCCAACAGGGATTAAAAATGTGATGACCCCGCTTTCTCGTCGACTTCCATAGTCAATGAATTGTCTTCTCGTTGTTTTTAAATCTATCCTATAGAATTGAATAAAATAAAAAATAAGCAAGCGCGTTATCATATTTATATTTTCCTCACCTAAGAGTCAAACTCACTAATATATAAACAGGTGGATGCAAGACTAGATTGAATAATATCTCTAGTAAAATATTGCAAAGTAACATTAGTTTTTCAAGTGTGGCCCGCATGGATTGAAAATGTGATACCCGGTTTCTCATATCCTTCCACTGTCAATGAATATTCTCATTTTTGCCTTTTCTTCTACCCTATCGCATTAAATTAAATTAAAAATAAGCAAATGCATTACCTTCTCACTAACCCAATCAATTTAAAATTTCCTCACCTAACGGACAAACTCACTAGAATATGAATATGTGAAGTTTACGTGCATGACTAGATTGAATAATATTTTTGGTAAGTATTATAAAGTAAATTAATTTTTCAGGTCTGGCCGGTATGGATTAAAAATGTGATACCATACTTTCTCATCACCTTCCACAGTCAATGAATTTCCTTTATTGTTGCTTTTTCTTTTGAATTATTTTTCTTGTACAACCGGAGTTGATAACCCTGATTGACTATTAGATACATGGGAGGGGGCCCCACATTGAATAACTGTTTTCTTTTATTGTATAGCATTGAATTAAATTAAAACTAGGCAAACTCTTTATCTTCTCACTAACCGAGTAATTACAATGGCAATTACAATTACAACACTATAATAAGTTTATAAATTTCATAGTAATTACAATTAAGTTCAAAACTTTATAATAATTGTAATTAAGTCTAAAACTTTTATGATAATTGTAAGTAAGTTTCAATACTTTATAGAGCTACCACATGGTCGAACATGTATTATTCAAGTTTCAATAATTAGATAATATTTATTCGATTGTAGATTACATAATCTAATCATTAGTTTTTTACTTTCACAAAAGGAAAAAGACAGCAAACTCGGAATATATACAATCGTAGAAGCAAATATATATATATTTTCTCTAAGCTTCGTTGTATGCAGCTTTTCCCATTTGAGATATGATAACTAGATATGGGTATAAATGATTAATTTTCTCTTCTACTTATTCTCACTAATTTAGGTATCATTTTCTACAATGGTCCTGTGAACCAATCACGTATGTCGAAATTTAGTTATTGCTAAACAACTGAATTCAGATTTTAATCGTTCAACAGAAATACTTAATTAGTTGCTTTACTCGTTTTTCAGGATGATTGTTCCCATCACAAAATCAAGTTCTCTTCTTAGCTCGTTCTTAATCTCTCAATTTATTGAGATATTTGACCAATCAAATTTATAAAAATCATTGATTATTTAAATAATCATTATAATTATAGAATGATATACACAATTGTGTTAAGGAGTTTAGATTAAATACATGAAAATCATGTGGAATTGAATTCATTTTACAGTCATGCTATAGAATTAAACTCAACATGTGATCATTTCAATTCATTCCAAGTATAATACACCCTTAACTATTTTTGAAATAAGGACAAATCACAAATTTGGCTAATGAATCGGTCAACATACAATCTTTTGACACAACATGCGTACCCTTATATATTGGTTGTAAACAATTTATTTATGATAAAAATAAAAAAAAAAGTTGTGCCACATTGTGTTTCTCAATGCAGGTATCTAATTTATATTATCTTAAGTGATCATAGACACTTTAATTTGTATGCTCAATAATAAATTAATATAAAAAAAATAAAACTACAATTTATTTTTAATAAAATATTATTCTATCACAACAAAAATTATCATATGGGTGCACAACCAGCAAAATTTCTTGATGCTTATGTTACCATATTCAAGCTAATGATTTTTTTTTAATTTTTATTAATTTTTTTAGAGAGAGCTGAAGGTTGCATACCTTTCTAGTTGGAAATGATTTCTTTATACCCCTGTTTGGTTTAATTTAATATAAAGTTAACAATTAATTTCAACCACATATTTTATGAAATGCATAACTTTTCAATCGCATATCTTGTTAAGTTTTTTATCAAATTTTACTCAAAACGTAATTTTAATTCCATTCAAACATGGGCTATAAAATGTTTTGAGGAGTTAACAACACCCAATCACTTCATTTACCGCCAATCACTTTCAATAAGCAGTGACATTAGGATGGAACGTCAGAGTAGTTATGACCTATAGACTAGGCCCTGACCCTAGGTTGTCTTGTCAAGAAGGGTGATTGGTTGTTAAACTAACATTGCTTGTTGTTTAAATAGTGTTTTTTACGAGAATATGTTGTTAAAAGTAAGGGTAATTTCGAATAGTGTTTTTTAGGAGAATATGTGATTAAAAAATAGAAATTTTTTTATTTAGGTGTATAATATTTTATTATATAAATGTATGATTAAAAATTAATATGTAGGAAAAAAATCAAAAATAATGATTGTCAAACAGGGGCTCAGTTATAACTTATGAGGATGATCATTGAGGTTATAAAACACATTTCTAGCCTTGATAAACTATTGAAAAATCTTGTATAGACATTTCAAAGGTAATAAATTTAGAAAATTTTAAAAGGAATGCCATTTGTACATTCAAAAGGTACATTAATGTTGACATTGTGTGATATGTAGAAATCTGTGTCATCGATTTTTTAAACTGTAATTGAAATCAATGACAAAAATGTGTGCAACCTCACATACTATCAAACTATAACTATAGTAGGACCGATCTTAAAATAGATTGAATCTTTGTCATTTATGGAACCATCTATTGATTAAATGCACAATTATTGTAATTATCGTTGTGTATTTCAGCCAGCAATCTTTCATGTTTGACAAATATTAAAAATAATTTTTTAAGGAAAAATGAGTTTTGGAATAATAAGTTTTTACAAAAATGTGCGGTTAAAAAGTAGAAAAAAATTTCGGTTTATATGCAAAATATTTTATTGTATGAATGTATGGTTGAAAATGACTATGAGAAAAAAATAATTTTGAAAAATGAGTGAGAAAAATTGTGTTTAGAATTTCTTATTACCCAATAAGATTTCCAAATATTAAAATTCAATACTTCAATTAAGGTAAGTAGATGTAGGACATTGTACTGATTGGAAAAAATTTCAACTCAATGTAAACAAAAAAACTTCCAACCTACAGGAGAAAAGAAATCATACCTTAACTCAATGTAAACAAAAAAAAATTCCAACCTACAGGAGAAAAGAAATCATACCTTCCTATGTAATAATCAAGCATTGGTTCTGGAAATGGAGGATATGGGTTGGAGTGGAGAATATGGATTGGAGGAGCGAGCTCGGACATGGCAATGCTTGGTTTCTCACTGTCTAAAATTTTTTATTTCTGCACTACACTATTTTGGGGAAAATGCTGGGTTCTTATATGAAACACGCTGGAGTGCTGGATTTTTGCACTACACTATTTTGGGGAAAATGTTGGATTTTTGCGCTACACTATTTTGGGGAAAATAAGGATCCACTATGAAGTATTTTGAAAGCATTTTGGAGCACTAGTTTCTCTTTTCTTTGTTTTAAAATCACAACCGACCAAAGGCATTTCATCTCAACCGTACATGTCACTTTGTCAACTAGTCATGTAACAGTCTTGTCATACGTACAAAATGGGTTAACAAAGGTAGGTTACATTGTGATGATGTGGCAAGGGAAAAAAATTGTAAAATTTAAAAATCAAAAGTCACGTTCTCACTTTATTTACCAATTTTCCCCCAAATCAAACCCTATTCCCTCCTCTTTCCATTTTCTCACAAGATATTCAACTCCAAAGCATTCATCTCTGAAATCGCTCAGCTCTGATAGTCTCCTAATCTTCGACAGTCTCTTCCTCTCTGGTATGTACTCTCTTTCGCCTTACTCCGCATAGTCATCAAAGCTGATGTTGTGTCTTAACACTTGACCGCCACGAAATAATCGATTGGCATCCCTCATCTCTCAATCCTTCACTTCCACTGACTTCTTTGTTTTGCTAAGTGCTAAGATGTTATTTGTGCAATTTTAACATTTTCTCCTCGTTCTTGTCTTTGCCAACACTAAGATTTTATTTGTACAATTTTGACATTTGTTCTTGGTTCTTCCATCGATTTTTTAATTGACATTGGTTTTTCATTTTTGCTTATCATATTAGAATTGGTTGTAGGAGAAAAAACACTTCTTATGCTTTAATGTGGACTTTACTATTAAGCTTACATCCCCTAATATTTGATAGAAAAATGCTAATAATGATTTTTTTAATGTATTCAACAACACAGAATACCGAGAAATAACTCCAAAGCTTGCACTGGTTGCAGGAGTGTTGGATACTTCTTCGGCGATTGCCCAATAAAGTGTCAATGCCCACGTTGTATACACGTATTTCAAAAGTTTTCACAGTTGAAAAGGACAATGTTAACAAAGGTAAATTCTTCAAATGTTGCAGTGAGAAATGTGGGTTTTAGGATCAATTCAAAGATGGAGAAGCAATCAGTGAATCGTGTAACGATAGAGTTACCTTAACTAAACCAATGGTGCACAAAGAGGTTTAAGATATGTTGCGAATGTTCCAATCTCAAGTTTGGCTAAATAATGAAGAAGAACTCTTGATTTCTTGAATGTGAATGTGATAGGATAAATCACATGTCGAAGGAAATGAAGGGGGTAGAGACGATTTGATTTGTGGTTAATGTTTGGCTGGCAACATGGGCTTTCGTATATTTCTGTATATAATGCATGACATTTTGTATCCTCTTCAATCTGGACTAGTATGATTTTTGGTGAAGTAGTTATGTGAATTTTCTTGAAGCTGTGATTCTCAATTTGGTCAATTAGTTTAGTGCAGTACATTGGTTGGTTTTAATATCACTGGATGTCTTAATTTATGTACCTTGTGCCCTGCTAGTGCATTGGATATTAGCTAAATTATATGGTATGCACTTTGTAGTTTAACAAAGTTCCTCGAATCTAGAGCTACATACATTTCCAATGGACGATAACCGACGTTTAAAGCTTAGAGATAAAAGTTAATAACCATATCAAGGATCAATAGTGCATTCATATTGCAAATAACATATCACCTTAGAGCCTCAATACTGGGAGCATTATTGAACAAAAGCTGTGCCACAATTTTAAAGTATACAGTTACAATATGGACAAAACTAATAAAACGTCAAGTGTCTTGATCAAAATTTCATGGGAGAGAAATAATCCCACATTAGCCATTGGAAAAGGCTAAAATAATCATCAAACAAATTATACTTTAACCAAGAACAGGAAGTTCAAAATTCAACCTAGAAAGAGCAAATTCTATACATGAAAATGTATACAACCTAACTATCAGCAAACACCACTCATGGACCATAATACTACCAAGATCAAATTTTGAACACAAGAAAAACCACTTCATGTAGTCCAAATATATCATAACAAAACAGTTTGATCCATAACAAAACCCTTCTATGCAAATATCATGACAGATTGAAACTCATTCAAACGACCATAAAGTATAGATCACATTTTTCTCATCTAACAATCCATACATCTAAATGTAAGAAAGCAGTTGAGTCCACTTTGCTCAGCTGTTCGCTTGAATCCAAATGGTGCCACCATGATACGGTAAATGTAGATAGTTATACTAGATCACATAACCTAACGTGCAAATTAAAATTAACAAGAGAAGATGAAGTATTCAAATTCAATGTTGTTATTTAAATATTTATGTACCTTGTGAATTGAAAATAACATTTGTGGTTGTAGGAGGGATCAAAGCAGAAAACAACACATATTGTGTAAACACACACTCATTCTGTCCTACATCAATTTGTTCGCGTTAATACAAAAAAAGTGCTTACGAAATGGTATAATAAATATACTAACCAATAGGAGTTGCTAATATGAGAACGGCATCGACATGAAATATTGTTGTTGAGGAGGTAGCGAAACCTCGGGTGCTCCGTTCTCCATACTACTATGCTTCATTGTTGGTCTCTTTCCTTTGGTTTGATTCGATCATACATGCACGTACTCCATAAAAAAATATGACTTAGTGTATAAAATAAAGTGAATAAAAGAGTATGACATAATATCATGCCTTTGATTTCTTAGCGCTCGCCTCCATTAGGCCTTTTTTCTAATTTGTCTTTAGCGCCCTTCGTCTTCTACGATTTTGGATCCCTAACGCTTCCTCTCTCAGGACTTTGAGATACAATATACAAAGAAATAGTATTACTACCTCAACTGACTATGTCAAATTAAGCTCTTTATTTTGAAGTTCTATCCAATCCATGATAACACGATATCATCCTTAATCATTTATTGCAAGGTCTTAGCGAATGCCTGAATCATGTCGTCATACTAAATTGTCTAGGATTACTAACCAACCCATCGTAGTTAATTGCGACCCTCATGTGTGCTCTGCTTGCGTCTTTTCTCTATCTTCGCTGTATATGCAAATCTGGCATTCCAATCATGTCTTTACGTATTAAAACTTTGATCGCATGCCTGTATTCTATTCCTTGGAATTCAAACAAGTGACAGCTGCAAAGAATTTCACATTTTTCCTTTTTAGATGAGGTAAGACATTTTTTTCTTTCATCGATTGGCACATAAAATGTCCTTACACACCTCGTACATCATTCTATACGTCCATCTAAAGCAAATATAAGGTTGCAAAAAACCTTTCCTTGAACTTCTCTGAACTTTTAATTGGTGTATACACCTTGATATTACTTTTCCATTTAGTATTTTGAGAAAAGACTTGAAATCAGCCTGAAATTCCTTTTTAACCTTATTCTGCGGTGCCCATTTATACTGTTTGAAAAACTGCTTCATGATATCTTCAAATGCACATAACCATCAAAGAAAACATTTATACTCTCACTTCTTTACATTGTTGACATCCAAGCCAAGAAAGTTGTTTTCAAGAAAATTGGAATCCAGCAACCTCTATTTTCGTACAATCTCAATAGTCAATCGTTATCATGCAAGTCATACTTATCGATCTTCACTCTCTAACCATTCTCAAAATCTTCAACAAACTGTCAATCACAAACCAATATGTGTATACCGAAAATATCGAAGACTTATCCATGTGGTATACAAATATTTCTAACAACTTTTTCAAAATGTGCCACAAACATGATCTATACTTCGTAGTTTTGAAAAACTATCTGAATTGCATTTTTCACGATTTTGTCTTCATCACTAATTATTCTGTGTAGAGCTTGACAATGCATGCACCGAAGCCATGTATTAAACCATCATACAAATTTATCTGCGTCCTCATTTGATATCAAATCACAACCAAGAAACATTAATTGTCCGTGATCATTCATGCCAACAAAAGGGGCGAACAACATGTCGTACTTATTAGTAAGGTAGGTGATATCAAATGTGATGTCCCTGAACTCCTTGTATGCTTGCATGCATAGATTGTTTGCCTAAAAAATATTCTTTAGACGCATATCGTCATCCAACTCAATACTAAAGTAAAACTTTGAGCACCATGCTTGCATTTTAGAAAAGTAAGACTTTATTACTGCTACATCACCCTCACCAATCATCTTACTTGTTCATTATAGTTCCGATAATCATTTTCCATCAAGCCATATTCTCACAGCCATCTGCTTCAAAAAATACAGAGTTAAAACTTTTGTGCATTGTTATTTATGCCATATCATTCACTTCAAGCTTTTGTTTCACATGTGAACTAAATTCTTGGTTGCATCAATACGGCTTGGACTTAATAGGACTTGTCTTATGAACAAGTCAAGTTGGACTGAGTTAATTTTCTACTAACCATGGATATCTAAAGATTCTAACTTTACAACCTATCTGAATTGTTGGTTATAACTTCAAAGAAGTGCTTATATTACCACTTCTTTGTTCCTCTCGACTACATGTCAACGTGACATATATCAAAACACCATCATTATCCTTCGTCGAACTCCTTTTCCTAATTGGAAAACCTATGGTATAAGCACATCTTGAATAAAAATCATACACTTTTAATCAAAATCACACACTTCTTTTTAATCTTTGAACTGCATATGAACCTTAGGCACAGTCAAGCCTTCTCTTCCTAGCATTTTCTTTTCCACAACATTTACATTGTCTTCCACATTCTCATTTTTGTATTCAACAATCAAAACATCTTCCATAATCTCTTCTCTTACAAAACATAAACACTCACCCGATATTTACGTTTTCGAAATGCTATATGTCATCAATTGATATTAAACTGTGATTCAAAATATAGCCCAGTTTAGTAGATATGTGCACTGATCTTCCATATACTTCATCACCGAATATGTTACGGTAGAAGTCTAGTTATTTTGGTTAACTAAAATTAAAAAATGAATTAACTAATTAAAAAGGAAATCTTACAATTCAGCTAAAAAGAGATCAATTTCAATGGTGCTTAGAATTTTTTATATTTCATCAATGAATTAATTGATGCAAAAATCCAATTACACAATAAGATTTCAAAAAAATTAAAATCCAATGCTTCGATTAAGGTAAGTAGATGTAGGATATTGTACTAATTGGAAAAAGGTTTTTAATGGGCAAAGAACTAAAAAATGTTATTGATGGAACGGTAACTGCACCCAAGTCTACTGATTTAGATTTTTTGAAATTGAAAAACAAACTGACCTCAAAATTTGAATTGGCAAAAGATTGGGAGCATTTCGAGAGCTTGTATCAACAATCAAATTTTGCCCGCCATTTTCAACTTGGAACAGAGATTAGAGCAGCAAAACAATGACAGAAATATATGCAAGACATATATTCTTATATGACTAAGCTTTGGGATCAACTTATGTTGATGGATCCACAAGAGTTTTCATGCCTGATGATACACATCAAAAAGCTTTGTGAAGAATGAAAACTCGTTGATTTCTTATTTCACTCGAAGATTATTTACAGAGTATTTGAGGGTCTATGATTCAACGAAAAACATTGCCCAATCTCTCATTGGCCGTTTCACAGTTATTAGGTAGAGTGATGCACGGCTGAAACTACATGGTAATGGCAATCATTGCAGGATCCCAATCATTTTTAGTATTTAATTAGCACACAGATAATTTTCCATTGATTAGAATTTTGGAGTGTGGTAATGATTTAAATAAAGAACTATAAATTAGCAACAATCTTGTTAAAGGTCATAGAGAATTCAGATAACGCTCTGTTTAGTATAATGATAGTGACTGCACAGCTGAAAATATGTGATAATGGCAACAAATTGATGTTGATTTTTTTAATATGACTTGTGTGATGTTGAAAAATCTTGTCGAGGTTGAAGAAACTAATAGCTTGCTAGGTCCAAAGGTGATTGCACATACAAGTTCCCTTGATTTTCTACAGGTTATGCTATTCGTGTACCTTTATCTTTAGATGCTCAATCTGAGGCCTAGTAAGTAACTATAGAATGCATCGAATCTCACAAAAGATTTTTTTACGAATTATTTCTTTCAAATATAAATTTATGATACCCATTCATTTATTGATATTTTCTCTTTTATATTGAATTTCTTAATTCGTCCCTATATGACTGTCTAGAAGCGATCTAAGTAATATGTGCAATACAAAGTTCATGATGCAGAATGTGGCTTATGGGGACGACTTAATCAGAGAGCTACGTTGAGTGCCATGGATGATGCAATTCTAGATGCTATTGATGTTGTACACAGCAGTAGTTCTCCTAGTTATGGTTGAACACCTAATCTTCATCTGAGCACAAAATTTTTCAATTGAATTGGTTCAATATATTTGCAAAATTTTAAGGGTACTATTTCGCACGGGTTCGACACTAACAATTAAAAAGGAATCAGACGATTATGTAACGGACAAACCTCTTGAGACAAAGTCCCAAAAAGGGGTGTTCTTTA